GCTCTTCCAAAAATGAAAGAATCCAGATTGACAAGTCTACAATATCAGCTGCTAAAATTATCCCTAGGACCTTTAAGTACAAGTACTTGGGCAAAACTAAGAAAAACAATGTCACAATAAAAGACATAATATGAAATAACAAGAACATCAATAATGAGAAAAAAATGAGATTTGAAAGAGGCACCTGATGGTCAAACTCAGCGCGATCTTGTGCCCGCACATCACTGTGAAGTTTCAGGTCAATAGGCCTAGTAATTTCTTTCACTGGAGGTTTTACCAAGCACTGAAAATAGTAGCAAAAGAATCCCAAGTAATCAATAACCAAATGGGGACAAATATGTCATTGGATTATGAGTTTTTGTGTTCCACAATCATAGCAGCAAAGAATGCCTTGCAATCAATTATAGCAATTGCAAACATAACCACATTGGATCAAATATGTCATTGGATTAATGAGTTTTTGCGTTTTGGATCACATAGTAGCAATGAAATAGTAACACCAAAGAATGCCTAGTAATAATTATAGCAAATGCAAACATAACCACATGGGACAAAATGTGTAATTCGATTAATGAGTTTCAGTGTTTTGGAGCACAAACAGTCAAACATGGTCATAAGCTGTGCAAACAGATAACTTTCATTCCACAGCAAAACGAACTTACCTCTGGTTCATCTGTTGTCCAAGGAAGACCTTGTGCAACAGGTATCCTTTGCTTCTCTTCTTCTGCTGACATCTCTTGTATCTTCTTTACAAATTCCTCATCTTTTAACTTTCCCCTTTGCTGCATTGACATTCCATTAGAAATGTTACTATCTAAATTGTTTGGAAGAAATAATAAAATAAAAATAAAAATGAACATTAAAATTATCAAATCTATCTATCAATTGCCAGCAATTACCTCAGTTCTTAGCTTGAATGGCTTCTGGCTGGTGACTTTCTGCTGCTGCTGCTTTTTCCACCTCCTTCTCCGTAAAGTGCTTGATGATTCCAGACTCTGAAATAAATCGTTCAATTAAAATCAATACTCTAATTGATAAATATCATTAAAATCAATACTCTTATGAAAAAGTAACTGTTATTCAAGTCTTACATTTCTCCTGCTTCTTCTACCCCCAGTAGAAGTCCTGCTATACACACTGCAACGCATAAAAAGTTACCAAACATCAATACAACACTGAAATTAACGCTATCAAGGAAAATTAATCGATAAAAATCATATATTAATGTGTTTTGGATCGTATTGTATGTTCATAAAAACTTATAATTGAACGAGTACATAATCTATGCACTAATAATCCAATCACAAACAGCAAGTAAGTTTGTTGAATTTTACAAAACTCATTCAAGGAGTCATCGCAACATAATTTCTGATTAGCTTAGAGTGTAAAAATTACTCTAGACTAACTAACTTATGACTCATACCAACAATAATTGTACAAAGAAATTAAACTCTAATAAAACATAACTTAGATGCAGTTTCTTAGATACTCAATACTTTGCAAGGAGGCAATCGTGTTGGAATCAGATAGGACTACTTGTATTCTCCATTGGAGTCAATCCTATTAGAGTCTTATAGGACTACTATGGGCGGGAAAACCCTCCCTCCCTACAAATATTGGAATTAAAGTCTAACAGTATAGGTTAGAGAACAATACCAGAAGAACTAATGTTCTGCATGCAAGTTATGTTAACCAAAATGACATTACAAAAAAGCAAATAAAAAAGTTGTTTTTATCTGAAAAGTGAATCCTAACCTTGCACGGCTGCTGTCCCAGGAAGAGGAAACGGATGCCCCAGGATCCAAGCCAAGGTTTTGTGATGTGAGGACACAATTTGAGTTTGGTGGGCAAAACGAAGCCTCAGATGGTGTTGTTTGCAACCCTGGCAGTGCCCATTTCCCCACCTTGTTGTTATCCTTCTCTTGAGACTCCTCATCTTCCTTCTCTGCAGGAATAGTCAAAAGCTTCTCAAAAGCCTTCACCAAATGCATTACCTTCCCAGACCCACTTTGTGGAACACTCTTCCTCGCCGCTTCCATCACCCTCTCCCTCCTACGCTTCACCACCACATCACCCTTTCCCAATCCTCCTTCTTTTTCTTCTTCCTCGGTCTCTGAAACCCCTTCATCGTCATCATCATCATCATCACCACCGTCATCTTCATTCTTGAAAAACTCTTCCTGGGACTTTCTCAGGTTGTTGTAAGCCACACAAACACACTTGTCGTTGTTCTTGTTTGCACCATCCCTTCCCTTGCACTTGCAAGACCCTGCACCCTCCTTCTCTTTCTTCTTCTTTGCCACGACGAACTTCCTCTGGCGGATCTTGTTCTGAGGGGAATAGTAGCAGCTAACAACCGCGTTGGGTTTCTTGGAGTTTGATCTGGCGAGAGGGGAAGAGGAAGAGGAAAAATAACAAGAGGGTTTGGGAACAGGGCTCTGTTTGTTAGGGTCGAAATTCTCGAGGTTTTTGGATGGTTCTTGAGACTTGGATCGAGAGCCACGTGGCGTCGGCGAAGCTACGGCGGCCATCGGAAAATGGGGGTGCTTCGACCGGAGAAAGGAAGAGAAAGAGTTGTTTAATGTGTGACAGAGAAAGTTTGTGTGAAGAGAGAAAGAAAAGGGGGAAACAAATTGGAACGTTACTTCAGGCTCCCTTCTAACGGCTATTTTTCCTGTTTCTTCTTTCTCTCTCTGCTTTTATTTATTATTTTATTTAATTTCTATCATTTTGTTTTTGACCGTTGAATTATCATGCGTTGCTCCGATTATTATTAAATGCCTAAATCACTCATATACACTATTGCAAATTAGATATTTATTATTTTCGCCTAAAAGTTTTTTTTTTCTTTTTTCATGCAAGAAACTTTTTTACTTTTTTACATAACTCCTTTTCTCATTACCTTTTTTTTTTTCTTTCTATCAATCAATTTTTTAAAATTTTTATGAATATAATTTATGTAATATTTTAAAATTGATAATTAAATATCGATATAAATATATTTTTATCCATAAATATTGTGCACATGTAAAATAGAATAAACATTTCTCTTATAAATTTGTGAGTAAATATTTTTAACCATAAGTTGAATAACATTTTTTTCTTCATATTTTTTTTAAAAAAAATTAAATCAATATTTCTTTTTTACAAATTTGATTATTCACTATGTATTGATTTTTATTCATCTATTATCTTAAGATTCACTATTTTACAAAATATTGATGTAATTAATACTTTAATACACAGTCACGTCAAGAGTCAAGACATCCATAGTAACATGACATTGTAACCAAAACAACATTAGAAACATGACATCCTATTCATCTATTGAGTGTATTGTTTCGCCAATATTTTCGTTGAATAACAAATATTAAGTTCACAAATGAATTAAAGTTCTACTGTTAAAATAGTGAGAATTAAATTTACTAAAACAAATTGAGATACGAGCATTATAAAAATGAAAAAAAAAATCAAAATGGATAGGCAAAAATATAATTTGATAAATAAAATATCATTCGGGAATCTTTTACTCTTAATTGAATTGTTAATTATTTTCTTGGAAATTATATTTTTCAAATAGGAATTATGAAAATAATTATAAATAGTTTTATTTATTAGTTTACTTTAACATATATATATATATAGTTAATTGACATGATATAGTTTTGTGATTTTACGATTAATCACTATGGAAAAAAATTATTTTCCCACCTATAAAAATAGGAAAATTTTACAAATTGTTTAGGAATTATTTATGATAAGAAAATATTAATTCTGTTCTGAAAATTTTTATCCTCATGCCATTTTTCTTGGTAAAACATTATGTTCCTGTGTTAGGATACACACTTCAATTATTCTTGTTGTAGCGGGTCGGGTCCGGGGTCTAGGTCTTCTCGTCCTTCTCCGAGTAGTCCGAAGTGAGGGGGGTGCCTGCAAAGACACTCCAACGCTAAAGTAAGTGCTCAGCGTATTAAATGCGATAGTTAAAAAGTTAGTTACATACCTCGTTGGGGTCCTATTTATAGTGGTTCTTATTGGGCCGCGATTAGGGATTGGGCCCCGGAAAATTAGGGAGCTAATCCGATGCATTATGTTAATTACGTTCTCCATAATCATCCTGGCGGAGGCGCTGAGCTTGGCCGACCACACCGACGTGTTTTATTCACTTTAAGAGTGGTCGGCGGGCTCGAGTATTCGGTCTAAGCGTTCACGGGTTCGAGTATTCGGTCTAAACGTTCACGAGTTCGGGTATTCGGCCTGGTCGGCCACCATACGGTATACATTCCTTCTACCAAATGTGACGTAAGATCTTGGGTATAATCTTAATATTCATATAAGTTAATATGAGAAATATTGTAATTTTTTAACGACTAATCTGTTTATTCTATTGGCTTGGATGTCTGAGTCATACTGAGGTCATAGTCACGGGCCGAATCTGTATTGGGCTTAGGTAAAACCTTTAGTCCATTTGCTCATCATTATGGTTTTCGTTATGGGCCAAATCCACAGGTTTTGTGTTTGGTTTGGTCCATGTATAAATCCATCGATACATTCTATAGAAATTCAGAAAAAAGGAAATTATTTAAGTAAACTTGGAACAACATTTTTTTTTAATTTAATAACGAGTTATAACTCCTTTCCAACCTTCATTCCATATGAAAGTAAAATGGTACAACATTAACATAAACATAATACTTTATTAAAAAATTTAAAACGACCTATTTTGACAAAAAAAAATGTATGACTTTCATATACGACCATATTTTATCAAAGTAGTCATCATATTTTTGTCAAGATTGTTTTTTTCAAAGAATCAAATTTTGGACAAATTAAAAGGATAGACGTAAAAAAAAAAAAAGACAACTAAGGAATATAATATAATTTTTGGTCTAATATTATGTTATTTTGCTTTTCATTTTCTTAATTGCTACTCACGTGGGAAATGCCGTGATTTCCTTAACTTAAGACGTCAAAGACAATCTGAGGAATTATTTATTTTCTTACAATATAAAATTGAAATTGTTAAATTTTATAGCTTCAAATGTACTCAATATATTATTTATTTTCTAACCTTTCAAGCAAAGTTGATTCTTAGTTTTGAAGCTTGCGCCATCTGCTTTGATGAAAAAGCAGTTTAATTATTATGGTGATTTGGTCAATACATAAGCACATGAAAACCCTTCCATAATCACTTTCAATAATGATATTTTGAATACCATCTTTAAAAATCATTGCTTTCTTAATAATATAAAAATTATAGAGAAATTATGACGTATTCAAAAATAATGTTATGCAGATATATTAAAAAATGGAAAAGATAATTAATCTCACCTAAACAAATTAAATTAGTTGAATTTCAGTGTCATATTTAAATATCAAAGGTCTTAATATATTATTATTATTATATATAAAAAATTAACTCAATTATTTAAAATAGAACGCGTAAATTGTTATATATTTCTTTAATATCTTATTTAATTCTCATAAGTAAATAAAAATAAAATTTCCATTATAATTTAAATTCCATTATATCAATAGGAATTGAGTCCAACAGAAGAAGTAAATCTCTCAAAATATATCTATTCGGAGAAAATGTCTATATTTACTTATTTAGCATCAAAATTCTTTTTAGAGTAAATTGGATCCGAATTAGGATAGATGCAGAAAATCTAAAACAAAATTGTACTAATTTTTTTCCTTCTATCGTGACATAAAAAACAAAACCAAAATCCTTATTATATGCGAAGCACACAAAAATCACCCAGTAGAAACAAGAAATAGAAACAAGAGATGGAATACCAAAAATTAAATTAGACTATACTTGGAAGCTTGTGCTGTGTGAATGTGACTATTAACTGTTTTTTTATGAAGCAAATTATAATCTATTATTCCTTATTTTGTAAGGAAAATATGGATGTACTTTATATTGTTAACTTAGACGTAAGAGAAAAGTTAGAACTTGAAATTTTTTAAACTTGTGGTAGATGAATGACAAGATTAAGGACGTTGAAGAATTGACGGTATACATCTCGTTTTTATAACTTGATTAATGTTTACCATTTTCAATTGATTTAAACCATCTTGATTCTTGAACCATTAAATTAAAATTGAAATTAACTTATATTTTTATTCAGTTCATGTTCATCTTTGGTTTCATAATAAACTGAATTGCAAACATATTAATTAACTTTCTTATTTTATCTTCAAATAAATTTGAAATTATTTTAAACTTTAATTTATAATTTATTCTAAGTTCTGATTTATAACGAGTTTTAATGATTTGAACAAGTTTGTTTTCCTATATTCATTATATATTTTTTTTATTTAATGGGTGTTGTTTCTTAAATGAAAAACTAGGCAAGAGAAGAATTCATGTAATGGTTCAAGACTTTACTCTTATTCTACTTAATAAATCTTCATTTATTTGTCAACCAACGAAAAACATAAAACAAAGACCGTAATTAATTCAATCCAAACTAAAAAATAAAATATTTTTAGTCTTAAACTCTTGAAAATTTTGATTTTTAGTATTTAAACAAAATTTTTACTAATTTTAATCTCTAATTTTTGTGGATTTTCACTTTTAATTCTTAAATTTTCTTTTTGCATTAACATTTATAGTCTCTAGCATTAAAAAATGTGTTTATGGAAAGAAATTTAAGGAATTAAAATTAAATAAAATTTGTCAAGCGACTAAAAATAAAAATTAATAAAAAAAATTAAGGACTAAAAATATATATAATCCAATGGTCATTAATGCAAGTAGATCAACACTTATTCTCCTTAAATAAGAAATAAAGTTTGATCTCCAACTTTAACACAAAATTATAATTGAAAATATTGTTCTACCCTATAAAGAAGATCCAATAAAAAGTTATGCTCTTTTTATAAAAACAAAACTTAAGAAAAATGATATATATTACATTAGTTCAAAATTAATATTTTTATGTAACCGATATAAATTAACAAAAGATTTCTTATAAGATGCTCTTTTTCTTCAAAGTGAATAAAAATTAAATTATAAACACCCTTGAAGTTGACTAAGTTTCGAGTTTTAGTACTTATTTATTTTTATGATCAGTTAGTAGCTTTTACCCAAAGTTCTTATAATCCATTATCAATCCAACACTTGAACCGCACACTCTTTACGTCTAATGCATATTCTTTCATTCCCTTGCACGCGGTACAACTAATACAATGTATTGTAGCCAACGCGGGAATTTTTTAGTGCGTGTTTGCATTGGAGTTCGTGAAAAATTACGTTCAATTGAAAACAACAAATAATAGCTTTCACCTAAAATTATTGTTCGACGTGGAGAGAAGACAAAATTGATTTACAAAATGGAAACTAAACACCACTTAATTTACAACTCAAACAGAAACCATATTTTTAATATAGACACAGAAAAGTTATTTACAAAACCAAAAACAACAAACTAAACTCATACATATAATGATGAGAAGTGGTTATCGTACTTATAATAAAGATATGTTCCAATAAATTAATAATTAGGCATGAATATTGTGAGATATGTAGTAGGTGGTGAGTGGTGACATAACGCAGCTTTAAGAAAGAATGTTCATAAGTCAAATTAATTTGAATTTAAATAAAATTTCAATCCAAATGGATTGATTATATTTAATTGATTGAAATGGAAATATGTGGAAATGAAATGAGCCCATGACCCATCCGATGCTTGAAGTTGACGGAGAATAAGGAATGGAGGCAAAACGCGTGGAATAAGCTGTAAATCCCTCTTTGCCAGTTGCGTTTCAAGGAAAACAAACCATCAACCCATGCCCATTTCTTTAAACTCACTTCAACTTCCACTTTTACCCTTTTTCATAACAACAATTCAAACAAATTTAACTAGTACAATATATATATATATGGGAGATATTTCTTTTTGGTTCATTACTCAATAATATTCCCTTTCAGCACATACATGATACATTCATTTTCCAATATAATAGGTTTAGATCTTTGTGTACCTGTTAAAATGATGTTTTGAAGAAGTAATTTTTTCCTAAATTAATCCTAATTAAGCATGTGATATCAGTAGTTATTATATGGTATTTAATGTGCATTTATTTCAGTGTTTTTTAGTTTCTCTGAGATGAATATTTAATTAAAAAAAAAATAGAAAGGTTGTGAACACCGACCGTAAGCGTGTCCATTTTAGTAATAACATGTTGGGAAGGTGGATTTTCGTTGGGTATATATAACCTTTGTAACACTCTTCTTCCATATAACACGATTTTCTTCTCTCTCTCCCTTAGTCAAAGGGATTCATCGTTCTTCTCCGAAGGTGAAATTCCAACACTTCCATTTCTTGTTTTTGCTTTGTATCATGTCAAATTTTTTGCTTTTTTTGTGTTGTATCGCGCATTCATGCTTTGAATATTAGTATTTCTTTTTTTGTGTGTGGTGGTGGAGTTTTGCTTCTTGTTATTAATGCTTGTTTCTTGTGGTTGGTGGGTTTGGTTCTGATTTGTATGAAAGTGAGACGGATCTGTGGCAATTTCACTTTGTTATGTTGTTTTCTGTTCAATTTCGATGCTTTTGTGGGATTTTGGTTGTCAACTTGTTTTGAAGTAAATTGACTGTGGATCTGTCGGGATTAGTGGGTTTTGGGATTGAAATCACATGCATTTAGCTCATGGTTCTGCACTTGGTGCTAGATCCGCTTTGATATGAGTGGTCAACTTACACTCATGTTGAAGCTTCATCATCAAATCATCAACGTTTGCATGCGTGTGTTAGATCTGGTTTCTTTTAAGCTCTTGTATAGCTCCCTGTTTGATATGTGTCATAACTTTCATCTGTTGGATAGATCTTCCACCCCCGCTTAGTCTGATTTCCTTTTTCTGATATACAACAGTTAACATGATGTTGATTCCAACATGTTGGGAATGCGTACTTGTTGCTTTTCCTTGTTGGAACTATTGTAACATGCAGTTCTGTTGGCCATTCGTGGCCAGGTCTTGCTATCATGTCTCAAAATTAAGTGAATCTACCATTTGAACTCATTGAAATTTAATGGAACCTTCTTGCTGTAGAAGTTTTGGCCTATTCCTAATGTATATTGTTTGTTAATATAATATTGGTTTCATTACCTTTTTGGTCTTATAGTTTCATTAACTTTACTTTTAATCCATTTGATTAAAAATATTCTATTTTAGTCCATATATATACCATTTTGTTTCTTTAGCTCCTATAGTTTTACAAGTTTTACTTTTTAGTTCTTGAAATAGACAACAGAGACTATAAGGACCCAAAAATGGTATGTATAGGGACTAACATGGAACCTTTTAATTATATCGACTAAAAGGTGAAGAAGTTTATGAAACTATAGGAACTAAAAGAATAATTAAATCTATAATATTTCTTTGAACTCATTAAGACAAAGCATCTACAGTCGTGTGTCTCCTTTGTTCTCCAAGATGATAATAGTTGCAATTTGCAAAATCTAGTCATTTCTATATTATGTTGTGTTAATGCTATTTTGCAAAATGATAGTCGTATAAGATAAAATTGGCTTCTGTTGCAAGCAAGCGTTCTTACTGATCTGTTTGAACCATGATTTGGATAGGTTATTCAGAAAAGCAAAATGGTGAAGATTTGCTGCATTGGTGCTGGATATGTGGGAGGTCCTACAATGGCAGTCATTGCACTTAAGTGCCCATCCATTGAAGTGGCTGTTGTTGATATCTCTAAATCCCGCATTGCAGCCTGGAACAGTGACCAGCTTCCTATCTATGAACCTGGCCTTGATGGTGTTGTAAAGCAATGCCGTGGCAGGAACCTATTCTTTAGCACTGATGTTGAGAAGCACGTCTTTGAGGCTGACATAGTGTTTGTCTCTGTCAACACCCCAACTAAAACTCAGGGTCTTGGAGCTGGCAAAGCAGCAGATTTGACATATTGGGAAAGTGCTGCTCGCATGATTGCTGATGTCTCAAAGTCCGACAAGATCGTTGTAGAGAAATCCACAGTCCCGGTCAAAACCGCTGAGGCCATAGAAAAAATTCTGACCCACAATAGCAAGGGAATCAAATTCCAGATTCTGTCGAACCCGGAATTCCTTGCTGAGGGAACTGCAATCCAAGATCTTTTCAACCCAGACCGGGTTCTTATCGGAGGAAGGGAGACCCCAGAGGGCCAAAAAGCTATTCAAGCACTGAAGAATGTTTACTCTCAATGGGTCCCTGAGGAAAGAATACTAACCACAAATCTCTGGTCAGCAGAACTGTCTAAGCTTGCTGCCAATGCCTTCTTGGCCCAAAGGATTTCATCTGTTAACGCCATGTCAGCTCTTTGTGAGGCTACTGGGGCAAATGTTCAACAGGTGTCTTATTCTGTTGGTACAGACTCAAGAATTGGACCCAAGTTCCTCAATGCTAGTGTTGGTTTTGGTGGATCCTGCTTCCAGAAGGATATCTTGAACCTTGTCTACATCTGTGAGTGCAATGGCCTTCCTGAGGTGGCAGAATATTGGAAACAAGTTATCAAGATCAATGATTACCAGAAGAGCCGTTTTGTGAACCGTGTGGTGTCATCGATGTTCAACACAGTTTCAAACAAGAAGATTGCTATTCTGGGGTTTGCCTTCAAGAAAGACACTGGGGACACAAGGGAGACCCCAGCCATTGATGTGTGCCAAGGGCTACTTGGTGACAAGGCCAATTTGAGCATATACGACCCACAAGTTACTGAGGACCAAATCCAAAGGGATCTGTCCATGAACAAGTTTGATTGGGACCATCCTATTCACCTGCAGCCGACAAGTCCCACCACTGTGAAGAAAGTGAGTGTGGTTTGGGATGCATATGAAGCAACAAAGGATGCACATGGCCTTTGCATTCTGACCGAGTGGGATGAGTTCAAGACTCTTGATTACCAGAAGATATTTGAGAACATGCAAAAACCAGCATTTGTTTTTGATGGCAGAAACATTGTGGATGCTGATAAGTTAAGGGAGATTGGCTTCATAGTTTACGCAATTGGTAAGCCACTGGATCCATGGCTTAAAGACATGCCTGCTGTCGCATAAGATAAGATCATTGAGCAACTACACTGCAACATCAGACAAGTATTGAGGCAGCCAGTTTGATTCTTTATTATTTTTTGTAAGAGTTTTTCTTTTACTCCTTAACTTTCTCATAATAGTTGACATAAATGGTGGGGAAGTAGGGAGTCACTATGTTTTGTGCTCCACTCTGTTATGAATGTACTAGGAAAACTTGTTATGTTTGATTAATCATTCTCTTAATATCATATTTGCGAAAGTTTTGTAATTTTACAAGAAACATTTGAGTCTAACGGTTCAAAGGAAAATAAGGTGGCAAGAAGGGCGCAACATCTGAATCCATTTTTAAATAAAATTTGATTTGTATTAATAATCAATATTCCTTTAATTAATTATGTACTTTTGAAACAAGTTTACTTTGACAAAGCTGCATAATTCCTTTATTGAAGAGTGTTGTAAGATGCCTTTGTAAAAAGGACATCTGAAGCATAAAACTTGGGCTTAAAGCATTTCACGTTCTTAGTAATACCCTCTGCCAAGTAGAGTGCTGGACGAAGATAATAAATGAAAATTAATTTGATAAGAAATAGATAAAAGATAGAATGGAATAGAGTGAAATTTATAGTTGATTGGCGAGTGAAATAAGGGGAGAAATAGAAGTGAATTAATATTTTAAAATTATATTTTAGTAAGTTAGATTTTATGTAAAAAATTAATAATATATAAAATTAGTATTTTATCCTTACGTTTATTAACTACATAATGTATTAAGGTGATAATCTATTGGAATATGGTAAATGTGTTGGTCCATTCTTCATATATATAATGTAATACAATTATAGTATATTGTAATATGATGAAATATTATAAACAAACATATTCAAATATAGTTGAACATAAAGGGATATACATGACTATATTTAAATCTACTTTCTTTCTTGCCCAACCCACCTGAGGGACGGTTTATGCTCTTACGAGCTAATTTTTGGTGGGTTTTCCCTTTGTTCACCATCCTTGCCCGAATCTGCACTAAATATGGCCTACCCTTTCACTTGTCCAGCCCATTTTTCCTTTGTTCATCATCCTTGCCCAAAATTGCACCAAACCTAGCCTAGTTTGTATCTTGCCCAACCCACCCGAGGGACGGTTTATGCTCTTACGAGCTGATTTTTTGTGGGTTTTCCCTTTGTTCACCATCCTTGCTTGAATTTGCACCAAATGTGGCCTACCCTTTCCCTTGTCCAGCCAAATATGGCCTTCCCTTTCTCTTTCCCAGCCAAATTTCCCTTTGTTCATCATCCTTGCCCAAAATTGCACCATACCTATCATAGTTTCTTTCCTACCCAACCCACCTGAGGGACGGTCTATGCTCTTGCGAGCTAATTTTGGGTGGGTTTTGCCTTTGTTCACCATCCTTGCCTGAATTTGCACCAAATATGGCCTACTCTTTCACTTGTCCATCCCATTTTCCCTTTGTTCAGAATTTGCACCAAATATGGCCTACCCTTTCTCTTGTCCAGCCAATTTTCCCTTTGTTCATAATCCTTGCCCAAAATTGCACCAAACCTAGTCTACTTTTTTCTTGCCCAGCCCACCCCAAGGACGGTTTATGCTCTTAGGATCTAATTTATCGTGGGTTTTCCCTTTGTTTACCACACAAGACTTGGCCACATTCAACCCACACAAGACTTGGCCACATTCAACCCACAGATGACTTGAGTATCATGAACCCACCACCAATAACCACACAAGTATTGGCATCAACATGAACCCACCGACCATAACCCACATGACTTGGGGGCACCATCAACCTGCCAACAGTAACACACAACACTTGTGTACCAATAAATCACATGACCTGGGGGCACCACCAACCCACCAATAGTTACACAGCACTTGCGTACAAATAATCCGCACAAGAGTTGGGGCCACCATCAAAATCCACCAACAATAACACAACACCTGGGTACCAATAATCCATACAAGACTTGGGGGAGCATCAATCCACAAACAATCTATCACATGACTTGGGACACCGTCAAGGCACCAGTAATAACACACATGACTTGGGGGAACCATCAACAGACCAACAATAACTCACATGACTTGTGGAAGCCATCAACCCACCAATAATAACTCAAATGACTTGGGACACCATCAACGAGTCAATCATAACATGGATTGGGGCACCATCAATGAACATAAGACTTGGGGGCACCATCAAAATACACCAACAATAAATCACAACTTGGGGGCACCAACAAGAACTCACATGACTTGGGGGCGCCATGAACCCCCCAACAATAAATCAGGTGACTTGGGCACCAATAATCCAGGTGACTTGGGACACCATCAACGAAACAGTAATAACACATGACTTGGGCACACCAACAGACGAACAATAACTCACATGACTTGTGGAAACCATCAACCCACCGATAATAACTCATGACTTGGGGGAACCATCAACAGACGAACAATAACTCACGACTTGTGGAAACCATCAACCCACCAATAATAACTCATGACTTGGGACACCATCAACGAGTCAATAATAACATGAATTGGGGCACCATCAAAACCCACCAACAATAAATCACAACTAGGGGGCACCAACAATCCACCAAAGACTTGGGCAACAAACACGTGCCGCCAATCGCATAGTCATGTCCCTTCACAAAAAAAATTGCAACCTCAATATTAGGACATGCAAGTAACTTAGATATTATTTTAGGTGGGAGGGACGAATCAGAGCGACAAGGGCTGAATCTCAGTGGATCGTGGCAGCAAGGCCACTCTGCCACTTACAATACCCCGTCGCGTATTTAAGTCGTCTGCAAAGGATTCTACCCGTCGCTCGATGGGAATTGCGCTTCAAGGCGTCTCGCATGGCTGATCAGCCTTACGGAACATATTCAAATGTCATACATAATAATGGTGTTTATGCAAAACGTTTGAATATGATATACAATAAATATGATCATAATGGAATATAATTGAGCATAATCAAATATGGTTTATTTCATATTTGAAGAAGAAACACAATAAAGATATTCATAATAGAATATAGTTGAGCATAATCAAATATGGTTTGTTTCGTTTGGAATCATAACCGGTTATATTCATACCAAATCCTATCTTTCACCTATAAATGTGTAACTTTATCATACATAAGAAGGGGCTGCACATGTTTTTCTATTGGCACGGCCCTCTTTAATTTGCTGACATGAAAGACTGGATGAATCCTACTGTTTTCTGGTAACCGCAACTTGTAAGCCACCTCACCCACCTTAGCCACCACCTGAAAAGGACCATAATATCTAGGACTCAATTTCTCATTTCTCCTCTTTACCAGCGACTTGAGCCTATACGGTTGGGCTTTTAGATAAACCCAATCTTCCACCTCAAATTTCACGTCCCTTCTTTTCCTATCCACTTGTTGTTTCATCCTATGCTGTGCCTTTCCAATGTTAGCCTTTAATTCCTCCAAGATTTCGTCCCTCTCTTCTGCCATTACATTCACAGTCTCCACCTTGGAAGGAAAAGTTTGAGCTTTGAAAATAGCAGGAGGATCCCTTCCATACACAGCCTTGAATGGAGTCATCCCCGAAGACTGATTATAATGAGTGTTAAAACAAAATTCTGCCCAAGCTAACCACCTAGGCCAATGCTTGGGTTTATCCCCCACAAAACACCTCAAGTAATCCTCCAAACACCTGTTAACCACCTCCGTTTGTCCATCCGATTGGAGGTGATACGCTGAAGTATATTTCAATTTTGTGCCTGGGGATTTAAACAATTGTAATAAGTGATTTTTTTTTTGTAAAGATAAGAAATATTAAAAAGATGGTCGTAATAAGGATTGAACCTAAGTCCTCATACTTTTAACTATCTCAACCCCTCCCTACCCAACCAGTAGGCTAACCCTAGTGGTCTGTAATAAGTGATTGTGATGCAAGGGAAAAAGAAAATAAGAAGAAAATAATGTAATACTAATTTTATTTAACTTTGATTGAATTCTTTTGAATTGTCAATGTGTTTCCTTTTCCTTTTTTGTTTTTTTTTTTGTAGATTTTATGGTTTTTAATTTGAAGATGTAATTTTAAATATTTTGACAATTTTGAAAAACAATCTTAAAATGAAAATTTACTCAATAAAGTATGATTTTGTGTCATGTTAATATTTCTAAGGAAGCGAAAGTTATATATCGGCTCTTATATTCAATATAAAAAACTGATGAAGATATAATCATTGAATCAGATTAGTTAATAATTGAATGCACGCTTCTTTTTTATCATTTGTTGACTTAAAAAAGGAATTAAAATGTTCTTGTAATGTTGATAAGAAATATAGATATTTGTTTAGTCTTTAAAATAGAACGAGCAATGTTATTGTTGAGGAGGATATAAATATTATAATTACCATTAGTTTTTCCAATAATAATTATTGTTAATTTGTTATACATATATATTTTCGGGAAATAAAGATTTAAATTTCAGGAATGAATTTGGTTTCGTCTTATCTCACGATATTAATTATTTTTTAATTTCTTCCGAGGCTCTACAGAAAATATGCCAACTACAATTGAAGAAATATAATTATATAACGACAAAATTTGTCATTTCTTTTATTGTGAGACATTATTCGTGGCTTATTCCCGGGCACGTCTTTGGATAACTCTTGGAACTGCTCATTAACTTCCCCAAACCGTTCTGCAGCCTTTGACACTTATCCCATGATTTACTTCAATCGCTCTTAAATCGTGTCTCCTTTAAGCTCTTCATTCCGAGAGGTTGCGAAGTGTGTTCGTGTATGTCCGGATTCTTGGGATTTCGAGTAACCAACGAAAAATATACTCGAGTGTTTCCTGATTTTTCTTGTTGAGAGGTTGCAAGGCTATGAGCCTTTCTCCTGAGCAGCGTCCTTCCTAGTTCAATGATTTCGAGAGTTTCACGAAAAGTGTCTTCGTGTCCTTCCTAGATATATATATATATATCTTCAAACACTTGAGAAAGAAGGAGATGGGTAGTTTAAAGAGACAGGAGGGTACTAAAATTTTTAAACTAAAATCCACTTTAATTTCCCCAATTTTTATGATAAGTATTATGGATGAGAGACCTATCATATATTCACTCAAAATTCATTTTTTTCACCACTACCAATCACGATTGTCTTATTTATAAACATATTCTAATCCATCCTCCTCCCCCTCAAACTCACCTTCATCATCTGTATCATGTAGAGGGTTAGTGTTGATTCAATGATTTGTTTAAACATATAAATAAGCTTTAGTTATTTTTGAATTATTCAAACATGACACATTTAGCATTTGATGAAACTCGTTTATTTAATTGAATAAATTTTTTTTAAATTTGAGACTTAATATATTATTCAAATGAGTAAAGTTCAAATTTTACTAACTCAACATTAATCTTAAATATAAGATTAAACTATATTATTCAAATGAGTATAGCTCAAATTTTATGAATTCAACATTAATCACTATTTATTATTTTTATGAGTATGTTTTTTTTTCTTTCCAAAAGATGTTTTTTTTAATAAAAATAAGTATTTTTTTTTTAATTTTTTTGTGTTGTCTATTTTTTTTTTTAAATAAGAGGCTCTCTACTTTTTTTTAAGAAGCATCAAACAACACATATAAGTTATTAAAAAAATATTTTTTAAAATTTAAACAAACGGATTGAATAAGTCTTCTAATGACAATTAATTTTATAAAAAAATATTTTTGTTTACTATTTTATAATTTGTTAAGTTAAAATTTAGAGAGGAGAAATAATATTTAGAGAAAGTAAGTCTTTAAAAAAAGTAAGTAAATTAAAAAGAACTAAACAAGTTAAGCATTGGTGTGTGGATTAATTGACAAAATACCATTCCAAGTTAATTTGTGATCTCAAATTTGAACTTAAATGTATAACTTTAATTAATATTTGAGATGGAATATAATGACATGATAGATCACTACACTTAATATAGCACAATAATTACGCAGCAAAAAACATAATTACTCAACTACACTAGAGTTCTCATGTAATAGTCACTTAGACATTCATACAATAATATATGTATGAGGTGTAGAAATCTTAAAACAATTATTGTTAATACAATTGAAAATATAAAGCTCCTCAAGTGGTTACATATAATCCTTGTAAAAATGTACAATATACATCAAATACATCCAAAACGATAAACAACACATAGGAGTTCTACATTTTCTCCCATACAAGGCCTCGAAAGGTGTCATGCTAATACTAGCATGAAAATTGTTGTTATAAGTAAACTCCACCAAATGAAAAATCTCCTCCTAACTACCAAGATGATCTAAAACACGGACTCTCAATAAATCTTTCAATGATTGAACAATCCTCTTTGACTAACCATCTGTTTGTGAGTAATAAACAAAACTCAACTTCAATTTGTCTCCAATGCTTAGTATAAACTTTGTCAAAACCTAAAAGTGAATCTTTGTACCCTATTTAAGATAATAATGAAAGACACTCTATGCAACCATACTATCTCCCTGATATATACAAATGGGTAAGCTTCTCCAATAATCACTAGTCTTCAATAATTTCACTAGTCTTCATCTCCACCCAACTCAATTCCCATTGCCTTCTTAATGTCTAACACATCTCTAGTCTTCAATAATTTCAGATCCTGCAACCATTTATCCTTCACTGCTCCAAGAACTCATTAGTAATGATAGTCATTTCATAATTAATGTGATCTTAAGTCAACTCTACAAAAAAATTCAAATATTTGAATTTCTCCACCAACTTCAACTCTTTAATCATCAACAAAGAATTGTGTGTTATCAATTTGGATCAATTTTTTATATTTAAAAAAAATTACATTATTTATCTCAAGTAAAAAATATATTCAAAATAGTGTTTTGAAATTTTGACCCTTGTGATCATTAGTATAAAATTGAGTTAATTTGGTGTAATTAGTTATTGAGTGAATCTTGATCTCTTAGGTTAACGAGTTGCTAGTAAGTTATAATTACATTTTATTATATTTGTGACAAATTAAATATATGTGCAAATTTATATATTATATAAAATTTTATATAAGACATTGATTTATAAAAATTAATCAATGATTCATGAATAACTCACGACTAACTTTATTGAGTTAATCATTAACTATTTTTTTTATGAATGAGATAGGACAAAGACTTCCAAATCCACAAATTAATTAAAATTCCTTAATGAACAATATATGTCTAATCTTCCATATAAGTAATCAAATCAAATCAAATTAATTAGGAACCTTATTAAAAATAAAGCAATCAAATCGAAGAGAAGCCCCATATTTAACAAATTTGTTAGTCAACATATTCACTTTACTCATTACATGCATGAATGTATAGAAGTTGAAAACTGCATTCAATTCCTTAATTTCCACTAGAAGATCGATCACAATACTCCTTCATCTCCATATTTCTATCATTGATAAGGTTGATCACAATGAGGTAGATAGACTCCACCATAATGGCATCAACTTTCATGTCTTTCGCCATTTTGAAGTCATATAACATTCCCCATCACTAGTATTGATAATCGATTTAAATCTGATTCGAAAGAGAAAGCTTTAATAAAATTATCACTATCATCTCTAATAACTATCCCATAAGTAACAATAGTTTTAGAATGAAACACAACATCATCACAATTCATCATGAGAATGCCATGAGGAAGGCTCTTCCAACACCCATTACTGTGGTTTATATTTGTACTCATAATATGATCCAACACACTATAATGCTTTTTGACTTTATGGAGATCTAAAATGACAATATAAATTCCATTAACAATTTGCAAAATTGTTTTTCCAATGATTATGATAAATTGCTTCATTTCTTCTCCCCCAAATATGATAGGCAATGGCAAAAGTTTTAGACCAATTTGACAACCTTCCATAAAAAACTTTTCGCAAGTTACTTATCATTTGACTATCAAAATTTTGATCACATAAAATAAAGAGACATTCTCGTGCTACAACAACTACCAAACTTTTTTAGCTCGAACATAATCTTGCAAGTACAAATTAAATCTTACGGTATTGGTAACATAAAAAAAAAATATTCACCAATGACTCATTGATTAAATAACATTACTAAAACAATTATTGGTCAAATCTTATAATATTGGTAAAAATAATAATAATTATGAATCATATAATATTTTTATTAATTTATGTGTGTTTGTGTGGGAAAATTTTTTATAACAGATAGCAATTTTACTTGTAATTAATTTTTTTGTTCATAGTATTCTTGAAAGAAAATTTTATACGGTCCAAAACTACGGTTATGAAACAAATCTCATATTATTTAATCAAATATTTATATTTAAAATTTGTAATAAAACTAAATCATGTATTTCAAGTAGAAAAAAAAACAGCCTAAAATAATATTTAAAATTAAGTTAAACCTGACCAATAGGACCAATTTATTTGTATAGTAATCGGTTAATCCAATGTAACCATTCACGTAATGGAGCTAGGTAAAATTTAAATAAATAAATAAATAAAATTCAAGACGTATTGTAATATATATTAGTAAAAGAAAATTTATGTACCATATTATTACAATTATAATAATAATAATAATTTCTTTAAAGTTGTTATATATATATATATATATATATATATAGATTCCACCATCTTCAATGGCTCGTTGTTCATGTCATTGAAAGGCAGAAAGGCATGGAACACTACAATTGGCCTGACTCGCTGCAAACCGAAATCCCACTCCCTTCTTACCCACAACCTTCAGCACTCTCACCATATCCTCTTCCACCACCTGTCACTGTCCATTACGCTAACTCTCATCTTCAAAACCCTAAACCCCCTTTCTCTCTCTCTCAACCTTCTCCTCCTCTCAACCCTCCCGGGGTTGATTTCACCCCCCAATTCAACCATCTCTCCTACGTCGATCATGCGCCCCTTCCCAATTTCACCTACCCTCAGACCCATGTCGTCGCGGATTCCAACTTGTTGGTGACGCCTCCTGGCTATTACTTGCCCCAGGATTGGGCTGCTAGAGACGTTGTCAGGCAATATGGCACTGATCCCGCTGTTTATGCGCCTGTGAGTCGCTTTTTCTGTTTTTTTTTCAGCTAAAAATTTGATTTTTTTTATGTGGGCATGTCAACGACTGTGATAGAGAAAAAAGGGTTTGGAATGCAGAGGGAAAGGGTGGAATTGGATAATGTTGGTGGATGACTTTGATTCTTTGTTGTGCTTAGGACAGGGATTAGAGTTGTGCTTATTTTCTTGATAATTGTTGCTGTCACGTTGGTTTTTGTTCAATCCTTTATATCACGGAAAATTGTGGACAAATTCGATAACAATTGGCTATGTTTGGTTACACGTTTGCATCTTGTTTTGTAACCTCTGTTAGTTGATCTCAAACGCAGCAAGTAAATGTTTGGCAGCTTCTTTTTTTTTTCGTTGTCTTTAATGTGAATTGCAAAGAAATCTCGATTAATAGCAAGATTGTTGCTTTTCTTTTAAAGTTGATTTGAAATTTTAAGTTCAACTCAATTTAATTTTCTGAAACATACACAGAATCCTTGACATTGGCCCCAAAATCATGGTGATGGTCCATTTTTTAAAATTTCGCTTGTATATTCAAAGTAATTTAATGAAGTTGTTGAAAATCAAAATTGGAATGATCATGTTCTTGTCTATGGGAAGCTAGTTGAAGTGTTGTGTAAAATTGATATGTTGTTGGTGATGATTGCTTTGCTTTGCTCATGGACTGTGTTGAATCCATATAGAATTGCGTGATACCATATTCCAATTGAAAGGAGCCTGGTTTAATGATTTTATTGGGCTATTCAATTTATGTTCCTAACTTTTTCCTTCTAGTTACTTTTTATTTCAACTTTTCTTCTTCTTTGATGCTTATGAAAAACATGGATTTTTATTTGGAGTAGGAAAACAGAATATTGTCAATATTTTGAATTTATAGAGTTGATCATTTGAATGCTCCGACATACTTATTGTATCTTCTTATTTTCCTACAGTGACCAATAGATGTTGATTTGTTATTAAAATGTACACTGTTGACTATAGCGAGATTGCATATTATCAATGGTATTGTATTTCAGATATTGAAATGACCTTGGACATATATACAGGGTCGTTGAGTATGAGAGGAGTTAATCTTGACCATGCAACCATACATAGATAGTTAACATTGTTTTACTTGAATCTAATTTTCACTGTCCATTCATGATTATATGTCATGATAAATTCCTCTTATGAGAGCATACTTATACTTCATCCTGTATGTAAGTGTAGTTATATGTGTTAAAATTTCGTGATCATGACATTATGATATACAATTGATTGTGTTTGGTGTGGATCTAATAAACATAATGTGTGTTTTAGATGTTATTGTTTTAGTAAATTGGAATATTGTTTTAGTAAATTGGAAAAAGTGTAAAGCTTTGAAATGTTATCTAGACATCAGCTTCAGAAGTCAAGGGTGACACAACAAATTTAAAGGAATGTAAATTTTCATTCTATTGTATATTTTTTAAAATGAGTTGTTAGTGGTTTTGAATTTATTCAAGTTGCCAACAGGTATCATGTTGCTTGAGCTTTATTTGGAAGTTCATTATTGCCCTTCCCTTCCTCTACATTCAACATGCATTTGAAATCTGGTTGCTGAACAATTCTTTAACACTGTAAAGAAAATCTTTGACTGGACTCTGGGTTGATTATACTAGTTATTGTTAATATTGTTCTGTTGGTTTGAAGATTTGAATAGTACATTGGAGTTCATAAAAGTTTTTATGCAAGTCCCTTATGCTCCATTCATTTTTTTTAATTGCTTTGTGTATTATCTTGAGTTGGAAATAAATCCATATAACCATGCAGGGAATCCCTATGCCATCCAATGGCTCACAACAATTGGTTATGCCAATTCCTAACTACACATTGCAGACTAATACCACAACTCAACCTCATGGCAATGGAACAAGGAAGAAAAACCCAAAGAAAGCTAAAACTAAGATTGTGCAATCTGCATATTGTGAAGTTTGCAAGATAGAATGCACGAGCAAGGAAGTACTGGACCAACATAAATTAGGAAAGAAGCACAAGAAGAACTTGGGTAAACTAAGAGAATCATTGGCACCAACCCAAGTTCAACCATCTAAGCCATCTAATCCTATAATAGGACCCCAATTACCAAACGACAAGAAGAAATCTGCAAGTGGGAATAAGAGTAAGAGGAAAACAGTTGAAACTGTAGAGGGTTTGCATAAAAAGAAAAAAAGGGTTATTGATGGTGGGGCAGCAGCTGAAGCACTTAGGATATGTACTATATGTAATGTGGTGTGTAATAGTGAGATCGTTTATAATTTTCATCTTGTAGGACAAAAGCATGCTGCTATGAAGAAGAAAGCAGCACAACCATCACTTATTTTAGCAGCTGATCAAACACAATCCAGTGCCTGTTGAATTTCCCCATGTATTTAAGAGCATCACTTATTTAGCACCTCCATTCTACATTTGAATAGAATATACATTACTTAAAAGTTTCATTTGATTTTATACACTTCTGCATTCTTTTATGAGTTGAGATCCATCATAACTTTATCACTAAGAACAAAATCTTGCAATGCCATTGTTATACACTTCTACAATCTTTTATACATAATTAATAAAAATAAATTCTAAAATATATTAAACATATTAATTTTAAGATTTAATGGTCATACATTGCCGGTTAAAAAAAATTATACACTGTTAATAAAAAATTATAGTTTCTATGTTTTTTAAGATAATTGCTATAAAAGTTAATAAAATTATTATTCATGATAACTTGTGATTAGATAACAATATAAAATTGAGTATGGCACCATTTTAGTTTTATTTAAAAAATAATATTTTTTTAAAAGTTTAATTATTGTTTTCTCTTGTGTGTTGATGTTCATAAATAAAAAAATATTCTGTAAGTCTCACTTTTTAATTTAATATGTCAAGTTTATAATTTTGTTATTTATAATAAACTTTAACCAATAAAAAATGTATTAAAATATCTTACAAACACTTATAATATTATAACTCTCATAAAACGACCTTAATATTATATCTCTCATAAAATTACTAGGGTTGGCCACTTAATTTTATTAGTAATTTCTATAGATTGAAAAACTATTATCTTTCACGATTTTTGACCAATTATTATTATGGATTATTTTAATGCAATGTAATAAATGAAACTCAAAGCGTAGGGTAAGAAAAATTACAAGGAACAATCAGATCAGAAACATCATATTAGCTTGATGTAAGAACAATGAACAAAGTTCAGTTAAGTTTTCTAAAAATATCACAAGTTCAAATATTTGAGATAAAAATTTACTTCAGCGATATCTATATTTCATAATAAATTAGTTTCTGATTATTAGGAAGAGATTTTTATAATAATAATAACAAAAAAACTTAGCTTGAGGCAATGATAGTGCCAATGGCCACATGGAAAATTATTGGATGATGTGAGCGTTGGCCATTACTACAGAAGCCTTTTCTTCCTCGATTATGCAGTCACACGTACGACATTCCAAAAAGTGGACACCAACTTCCCCACCATTATGACTATTTAACATCTCAAGACCATTTGTAATGCCAATTGTTTATAAATAATTCTTATTTATTTTAAATAAATTTCATTATATTATGTTATTTATAAGTAATTTATTTTATATTTTTACAATTTTTTTTCAATAAAAATTATTTAGTATCTTCACTTTTTAACAATTCATATTACACTTTATGACAACTCTTTTTGATAAATTAAAAGAAAAACAAATGTTATAAATAATATATAAATATGAATAACAAATAAAAAAATTATAATTTTTCAACGTTCACTTTTTCATTTTTTTTTATTACCATACTTTCCTCCATTTTTTTTAATGTTCACCTTTCCTTTTTTTTCCTTTCCAAAATTTGTGATACCAAGGTGGGTTTTCCAGAGAAGTTCATCTGCGCATCATGACCAAGGCTTTCTCCGACGATAGGGACGTTGTGCTCCTCCGTTCTGAACTGCACTCCTCTATGTAGTTCTAAGGCTGTCGAGGCGTTTGAGGCATGGTTGTCCGAGACGTGTTGTTGAAGCTTTCAGCTTGGAGGATGAACCATTAACAGCCCTCCATTTGGCATTTCAGAAACCTAAGTACTGTTCTTTCTGGAAGCAACAGATCTAAAAAGTTTTCAACTTTTCTTGTCACTTCAAATTACTCCGATGACAATTTTGTAAGTAATGTTCCTTGTCTTTAAGATACATCTTCCATTGAAGGTGCTCTGATAATAATTCTACATGTCGTACGCATCTTTCATTATTTCCTTCTTCTTTTTTTTAATGATGCTTCTAAATTAAACTTATCTCTTATTTTCATAAATTAAATTTATCTTTAAACTCAATAATCTCTTATATTTGAATCAATTTATAGTAGTATATTAAATTTTAATTTATTAAACTTCATTTTTCACTTTAAAATAAAATATTTTAATTATTGTTATACTCACAAATATTCCTCAACCATAATATTTCATAATAAGTGTCGAAAACATTTTTTTATGATTTTATAAAGAAAACTCCTATCAAATTCTTTATTTGATTATCTTCAAATTTTGAAAAAATAAAAAAGAGCAAATAAGCATTTGAATAAGAAAGAAATGAAATAAAAAAAAATTATAACGACCAAATAAATAAGTTAACACAAGTAATCTGTAATGAAGCTAATTAGTAAAATTTAAACATATGACTGCATAGCAACTCTTGACATGTCATACTAAACCAAACAGTACATCAGAGTCTTTTAAAAACATCCTTTGAATTGACCAAGTAGGCAGCCACCAACAGCAGCAGCCAAAGTCCAAAACCCACAGAAACCCTTATTTCTCTCCTGAATGGCCTCTCACTGCCACCACCAAACCCCTCCTCCCACCACCACTCACTGTTACTGCCACTGCTACAACCCTTCTTACACCTGCTGCACACCCCTTTCAAATCCACCCCAACACCACCTTCTACAAGCCATTGCTTCACTCCTCTCTCAACCTCAACCTCAACCTCAACCACACCCTACTCCAATTCCCATTCCCATTCCCATTCCCACTCAACACTACACCAAATCTTCCACTCACACTCAAAACCACCACTTTCAACACCAACATCAACCCCATTCCACCATCTCCTCCCTCCTCCACCGCATCGAATCCCTCGAAGCCTCTCTCAACCACTACACCCGCCACTCCCTCCGCCACGCCGCTGCTCGCGTCATCCAAACCCACTTTCGCTCCTTCCTCGCTCGCCGATCAAGAACCCTAACCCACCTCAAACACCTCGCTTCCATCAAATCCACCCTCAACGCTCTCAAGTCCTCACTTTCCGACCACACTCATGTCGATTTCGCATCCCTTTCCCTCAAAGCCGTGAACTTGCTCCTCGAACTCGACTCCATTCAGGTAATACCAACATGGGAATGGTTCAATTTTGTTTTTTAGGAATTTGTTCTTTTTTAAAAAAAAAGTTTCAATTTTGATTCTAGGATTGTGATCCAATGATTGTGGATGGGAAAAGATCGATTAGCAGAGATTTGGTTCGGTTTTTGGACTCAATTGAAGAGGTTGCTTTGAAAAGGCACGTGCTTTGTGTAAGAGAAGCAAAGACTGTGAGGTCTGGTAAGAAAGTTCTTCACAAACCAAGAAATTCTGGTGATGATGAGAGAAGGAAGCTATTGCAGAATTTGAGGGGTAGGGTTGAGAAGCTTAGTAAATTGTGTAAGGTTTCTGCTGATCATGAAGAGGATTCAGGGTCTGAGGAGGGAATTCATGATGGTGGTGATGATGGGGCAAGAGTAACCAATGTTTTGATTGGTGGAAGGAATGAGGTGTCCCCAAACAAGAACGGGGTCCTCCTTCATAGGCAAGGGGTTCAGCCTAGAGTGAAGAAGAGTGTGAGGTTTGCAGAGAATGGGAATATTTATGAGGTTTATAATAGTGGGGATGTGACTTGTTCAGATGGAACTTGTTCATCTAGTGATGAGCAAGGAGAGGTTTTGGAGAATGTGGGTGGTGCAGTTGATGATGGTGTGGATTCTTCTCAGGGTGCTGAGGACGATGAGGAAGTGCTGGTGGTGGAGAGTGGAGCATTGCCGCGAAGCAGTGATGATGGGGAGAGGAATACTAGAATTATTCTTGAAAATGATGGCAGAAATGTGGTGAAAGGACAGCTTCAAGCAAACCAAGAGAGGCTCCTGTTCTCTGCTCCATTGCCTCTTAAGATGGAAAACAGAAGTGGTTTGAAGAAGAGTAAAGGTGTGAAAATTTTGACGTGAAGGACCATGGCATGGATCATGTAAGACTGAGTTTCTGTTTGATTTGTATTGTTTAATTGTAATCTAGGAGAATTTGATTGGACTTCAGATTGGTAGAGTTCTTTTGAGTGTCTAACTGGTTGTTGGTTCTGATAAAAGTCAATGAAGTTTTAAGGGACTGATAAGAAAATTAAAATTTGGTATTATCTTAAAATTATCATTGCGCAGCAGTGATTACATTTTCATCACTCGCTTATTAACCATTGTTGACGCAGAAGTATCAAGTCTCAAAAATAGATGCAAAATTGTATCAAATTTGTGTCTTGAAAATCAAATGTCCTAGCAAATTTATGGAGATCTTGCACAAAAGGAACTATATTTGCATCATTGTATTTTCATACTAATACTAATTTATTTGCTCAAGATTCATAGGAGTGTTTTGAACTAAAGATCCATTGTCTATCCTGTTTTGACCGTTCCTTTTATAACAGCTAGACCGTCCTTTTATAATATTCACACAGCATAATCAATTGAGCGACACTTTATTGGTATGATGCACAGTTTAGTTCCTCTAAAGTATTAGTATTATTTTACCATAATTGGTTCCAGTGAGATATACAAGTTTGTGTATCCACCCTTCTAGAAATATACTCATTCAATTTCAATTTCAATAATCAACCAAAGAAAGCCAATGCAATCCTAAACACGCAAGCTTCGAATAATTACGACTCAGAGATGTGTGTTCTGTCTTGATTTCAAGGTTCTCTGCAGCTACCAATTGTAGTCAAAAAACTTCCAGTGAATACTTCAGCGACGTGATTTGCTACCCACGGTGAGAAGGTGAGAACAAAAGGAAAAACATTTAACATGCTCTTACTGTAGAATCATGCATGATGATGATAACATGAACAACGAGGAATTCCTCGCACTATGGAATTATTCAAAAATAGAGTGAGATAGGGAATATTTGGCGAGAAAAGGAATTTTTATTTGTTTATGCCAACCAATAAAAATTGGTTTGATACAGAAGGATACACCCAGTAATCATGAAAAAACTATGGAAGAAAATTGCAAGTTGTTTCCATGCTTGAGTTTCATGTAACACACTTGTCATTGGATACGGTAACTCGGTAAGACTGTAAGAGAGGCCCAAGTATGTAACAAATTATATTTGTACGCTTAACCTATTAAACACCATTGACCTTAACACAAGACATTACTTTAGCATTAGCAGCCTTTAACAACTTATATCTTAAAAGCCTTAATTAAGTCTCTGAAGGTATGTATTATTCTCTAAAACAAATCTAACGAGTCCGACGCTAACCGAGTGGATACCAAAAAGAAAAAAAAAAGACTTGCGAGAGGTTCGACATTGAAATGTGAATTGTTTGCTTTTAATACTCACCGCATGTATCTCTCACCCTTTAAGTTTTCTATATATTTTTTTACTCTGCTACTATTATTCTTAACACTGACCATCCTGGGTTTTGAATTTGATTATCATTTATGTTCATTTTAAAATAATACATTTTTTTTTTAATTTATCTTCAACTTTTATTGTTCTATTCATTCTTTACCATAACTTGAAGTCTTTTTCTTCCTTTCTTCAATATTATTGTTGCATTAGCATATGTAGCCCTTAACCTTTTTTGTGTGATTTGAGATTAGTTTTTGCCTTCTCATAACTTGAATTGTTTTGAGAATTTCAATTATACCCATCAATATATTTTCTGATGAGTAAAAGTATTTAGCATGGGTAGGAGACAGTCATTAAAAACATAAACCAAGCTACAATGATTTTATTTATCTAGAAAATGCAATTTTGGTCACACAAGTCTTGCATTTCTTGCTATTTCTTTAACAAAATTATTTGTTGATTTTGGCAATGAGAGAAAGAGACCCTATTATCTTCATTTGAGTTGGTTACATGCTAGTATCCTACTCTCATAGTCAACCAAAGAGAGAGCTTCTCTCGTACTTTACCAAATGGGAACAAATTTCGTCGGAGTTGTATATGAAGCACATAGATTACTTACGTTGATGAATCTAAAAACCCTTGATTGGGATGCATCTACCATGCAAACCCTTAAAATTCCTTCTAAAACTGAAGGTGATTCTAAAATTTTGGAAAGGTTGCCTTTGGATCGCCAATTGTTGGTGCTCATATCATATGGTCGGATGTATTCGACACTTAAGTGGCCGAAGGCGAATAGCCGAAAAGAGGGATTAGGATCTTCTGCAAATGCATGAATCTCAACCATTAATATATATTTACTGAAATAAAATATTAATAGAAAAAATAAAATAAAATAAATGTACATTAGAAGACTGACCTACACTCCATGGTTTTCTTTCAACTATATAGAGGATCCATATCCCCGAAAAAACACGATTTTAGATAAGCATATGTTTGATTGCTGAAATATTTGGGGTTAGTATCCTTGAATTCCTTATCATTCTTTGCATACTAGTCTTGATGGCTTGACCAACCTCTTTCATAAGCTCACAACAATTAAGGTCTTTCCAGAGCCTCTACAACATTGTTTTCTGTTCCTCCCCTAGCAACTTCAAAAACACCTCTATTTGAGACCTGATGGAGTTAAAGTTGGAAATAGCAATTTCCGGTATGGAGAATCATCAAATCTTGGAGCTTACATGTTTTTACTTTGGTCCCAAATATGGTATGATGAATGATCCATGTTGAAATCCATGCTCATACTAGGACTAAAGTAATAAATGAAAACCAAGAAGATATTAGATAGAGGTGTTTTTGAAGTTGCAAGGAGAAGGAATACAATTCTCATTATACAAGTTAGTTTTGTATTTTTGAATTGTTGATTACCAAGATGAATTATGGGAGCTAAGTAAATAATCAAATTCTTGAACATCACTAGTCTTAGTGGCATGACCAACCTCTTTCATAAGCATCACAACAATCAAGGTCTAGTCAAATTCAATATCCAACATTGCTATTGTGTTCCTCCCCTTGCAACTTCAAAAATACCTTCTATCTGAAACCTCTTAGGATAAGATGGAAAATGCTGATTTCAGGCATAGAAAATCATCAACATATTGAAGCTTTCATTTATTATTTTGGTCCTAGTATGAGCATGAATTTCGACATGGATGATTCATCATGCCATAACAATGACCAGAATAAAAAACACGAAAACTCCAAGATTTGATGATTCTACATGTCTAGAATCCACATTTTCCAACTTGATTACTTGAACTCCCTCCGGATGGTATCAAATAGAGGTGTTTGAAGTTGCAGAGCGAAAGAACACGAAAGCAATGTTGGATACAGGCTCTGGCAAGACCTTGATTGCTATAATGCTTATAAAAGAGGTTGGTCAAGTCATCAAGACTAGTGGTATAAAGAAGCTGATTGTTTACTTGGATACCACAGTTCATCTTGTCAATCAGCAATTAAAAAATTCAACACTTGTATACTTTGCTCGACCTTATCACTAGTCAATCTGAAATTTTTAATCTCTTTCATAAGAATCACAACAATCAAGGTCTTGTTAGAACCTATATCCAACACTGCTATTGTGTTCCTCCCCCATTCGATTCGTCAACCTTTCTTTCTACCCTAAACCCTAAACTGCTTTAATGGTATTAGAACCAATCACTTGGCCAGTTGACCAGTTTTCCAATCTAACCGGCAAGTGGGTTTGGTTTTCAAAATAGTAACTGCCTCCATCCTTTTGGCGTGATCCTCTATCCCTGGCCTCTGATTCCTCAACCTCTCCCAACAATATCTTCAACAACACCTGATATTTAGATCTTTTTCGACTCAATATACTTCTCTATCTTTTTACCCTCCTATTTCTTTTTCAAAAATTATTTAATTAATCAGATACCAGACATTTCTAGTTAAAGCTAGTATTTTAAACTTTTTAATTTGAGTTTCCACAAATTTATCCAGAGATTGATACACTAATTATATAAAACAATAGTACGGAAGCCTCACATAACAAAAACAGCCTTATAACAACAAGAAGCCTAGCTAATTCTGTTGGAGTCTCTAGTTCTGTTATAGGTTTTGCGCGGAGAATAGACTAGAGTAAAACATAGGGATAGCAATTTCTCCCTTTGATTTTTCTACTAATCAGACTCACATTGTATGAAAACCACAGGATTACTTCTCTGAACAAGAACTACACAAGTTCCTACCTAAAAGAAACATCAGGCTAACATACATGCATACATACATAATATATCCATTGGCCGTGAAATAAATGATTACAGGCTTAACTAAAGTCAAACGGAATATGGGAATCTTTCATAGTGTTTTTGCTAGTTCAATGTAAAAGCCAATACCAGAATAACCTACCTTTACATGTCATATAAAAAATCAAACAAAACGTCAAATTTACATGTCATCCAATTAAAAAACTCATTCTAACAAATTAAAACCGGTTTTGCCAATTATTAGGGAGTGCCACTCAACTTTAAAAAAAAAAAAAAAAATACATAAACTTGTCCTAAAAAGATGACAGTTGACTTTCCTAGAGAAAGATGAAAGCTCAAAACGATTTCACATCGTTGAGAGTTTCACGATAAGCGAAAGCAGAGTAAGGAAACACACATTTCCAATTTGTCCTCTGCTCAACAGAGTCATACTCAGAACCTGCAGCAATAGCAAGACAAAACTATTCTCAGCAAGTTTGACATACTACACCTATTACATGTGGCGAATTAGCAATAATGAATAAGTGGTGAATCGACAAAAAGAAAAAGAGGCATAAACCCTAAACCCTAAACCCTGTGTTGTGGACGAATTACCGCGACTATAAGGAGGGTTGTTGGAGTTCCATGACGCTGCGAAGCGGAGGGGCGTAGAGAGAGTGCACGAAGGCCTGTCGTTTAACGAGCGCGAGCTGAGACTCGCCACGGGAGAAGGCGGAGGAAATGGAAGAAGCGTCGGAGAGGGTGGCGTTTTCACGAAACGCATCGATGGTGCGGCGTTTGGTGTATTCCCTGATGTATAATCGGGAAACTCGCGCGCGACGCGTAAGAGGGAGCGGAACAGAGAGAGGACTTGCGCGGCGGAAGGAGTGGCGGAAAACGCCGCACTCATCGCTCCGTCCAGAAAGAGAATTCAGAATATAGATTGTTAGGCTCAACGCTTAAGATGAGAATCATGAATACATGTTAGTTTAATAATACTTACCTTTTTAGGTTTAGGTTTGATTGAGATAATATTTTTTTAAAAGTTACAAGGTAAGAAATTAAGAAAAAAAAGTGCCTTGATTCTTTTTCATGATTTAAAATTAATTTATTTACTTCGATATTTTTAAAATCTTTTTCGTTTAATATTTTTAAAAGTTAAGTGTATTAAGCAATTTTAATTTATGAAAATGTTTAATTTCTTTTAGGTGTATCTTGGAAAATTCTTCTAGATTGACTCTAAGTTAAATAAAAAAAAAGTTGAAGTTAATTTTAACAAAACATATTATTTATCAAAAAGTAGAATATTGTTCTAATCATTTATGTTAAAGTTTACCCTAAAAAAAAAAAAGTTTAGTTGCGCGTAGTTTTATTTCAATTGATATACTTTAATGAAGTAACGTTGCTTGAAGTATGGCCTCACATTATAATATGAGTTAATCATTTATATATTGTTAGTATAAAATTTTTTATACTAGTAATTAATTATATTTTTTAATTGTGTTATATTATTATAAATATATTTATTTTTAACAATGACATGATATAATTAAAAGATATAATTAGTTGTTTATGTAAAAAAAATTTATACCGATAGTATATAGGTGATGTATTATATATGCATACCTTTTTGGAAAGATACTCGAGTATTACTCCGTGAGGTGTCTGATTTTGTTTCGCCATTTTTTTTTAATCTCATTTAGTATGAAAAAAATCTAATTTAAAGTCTCAAATGAAATAATATTTAAATAAATACTTAATTTATTCCATGAAAGATGAATGAAGTAATTGATAAATTTTTGAAATATTTTTTTTATAATATTTCAATCTTTAAATTTTAATTTTATTATATAAGTTAATTATTTTATTATATTCAATTATTAATTCTATTAATTTCTTAAATAGTTAATAATTAAGTGACAAGTTAACACATATTTTATTTCTCAGTTAACTATTGTCTCTCTTCTAACTTGGTACTACAAGAAAATTCGGTATTTCAGACGGCAAAAATCCGTGATTTTAGCATGTGTTTTGGTTTTGAATCTCATGTTTTGTCTAGAGTCATGTGTAGTCCTTTTACATGTCATTGATTCCTAGACTAGCTTGTTGAACATTATTTGTTTGTGTTATTTTTGTGTCTACATTGGTGCGGTTTTTGCTTTCTAATCTTGTACCTACCTATATGTGCTTTTTCTTTACATCATTGTGTTCTTAATTTTCTATTAGTTCTAGCACATTTCCTAGAGTTAGGTTTCCTTTATGTCTTGTTAAAAAGTTTGTTAAAAAATTTACTAAACACTATTCCTATTAGGTTTCCTTGAGTTTTGTTTTTGTGGCTGAAACTTATATCACATTTTAAAGAATAAAAACAGAGGTATTAGTGTTCTAAAAACATTGGAAAAACAAAAGAAAAGAGTGCTTGAAAATTGACCTAAAAATTGTACAAAAATTGTGAAGCACTAGAAAAACAATTTCACTTGAAAACCTCTTGTTTTGTGAAATTTTTGGCAGCATTTTTACCTCATTAAATCCGAGACTTATACATGTTTAAAAGGCATTAAACTCATGTAAAAAATAAAAAGAAAAAGTGAAAAATAAGTTATAAAAAGAATTACAAAAAAAAAGAGTTCAAGAAAAAGCCAAGGAGTAGAAAATTGTGTGTGATGTGCTCTCGGTTTTAATTTGTATAAAGTGTATTGAAATCTGTCCAGCCACATATCACTTGTTGTTGAGTCTTAATTTGTGTTGTAATCTTAGATTTTATTTTTTTTTATCTATTCTAGTTCCATTGATAGGTTTTCCTTTGTGTGCTAGCCTTTCTTTGGTGCCTTAATTTTTGCTTGTCATTTTATTGGAATTCTTTCTAGTCTTGTCTTATCTCTTTGCACCATTTGTGTAGCTTCTCCTAATTGTTCCTTTCAGTTTTAGCATAAATATTCCAGCAACTTAAGGTGTGTTGAGTGCTTCTCGAAGGTGTGGAAGGCCAAGTTACAAAGGAAGCGCCAACATTGGAAGGTTTTTTGGTGGCCTAGGAATCTTGCTTCTCCATTGGAGGAAGGCTTTGGGAGTCCAAACACCTAGGAATAACCAACATCAAGGTTATTCCTAAGAGAGGAGTGACACACTTGTGAGGGATGCAAGGAGTTGGTGGCTGAACCTGAATTGAGGGAGCAATCAATTTTGTGAAATTGGTGACTAGTTTAGAGATGGAAATTTTTGTTACAAAATTTCCCTTGAAAAATCTGTCTCTAAATTTGTCACTATTTTAGTGGCTGAATTTTGTTTTCTAAAAATTTGGTGCAGCCACTGTTAGAAAAGAATGGCTCAATCCAAGAGGGGGGTGAATTGGATTCTATGATACTTAAAATTTTTTCAGGGTTCTAAGGATCTTTATTTCAACTTAAACTTTTCTAATATGAATTCTCAAAGAAGTTCCTTGAAAGACTTGCTAATGGGAATGAGTCCTATATTCTTTCTTGATTAATCTTGATAAAGTTCAATGTTAAGAACACTTAATATGCAACACTTTGATTCAGTTTAAGGCAATGCTGTGCATACAAACATATTAATCAAGATTATCCACTTTAACACTCAGCCAAGATTTTGCTCAATGTAAAAGATAAGAGTGAGGGAGAAGAATGCACAAGTCTTTTATCCTGGTTCAGCCACTCCTCATGTGACCTACATCCAGTCCTCAATCATAACCTGATCAAGATTTTTTCCACTATCTCAATGAAGAAGTTTTACAAGCATACAACACATGCATATACTCCTACATTCAAGATAACCACTTTCTTACCCCAAGAGAGCACTTCTTGTAGAAACCCACTACAAGAACTCCTTACCACTTGAGACACCTACTCAAGATTCCCCTTACACTTTTCACAGAGAATTAAAGGAACGAATTCACCTGGAAGCAAATCAAACTTGGAATTCCAAACTCGAATCTTAATCTTTCTCTCCCAAGAATGTAATGATGATGATGATCTCTTTCAAGGAATTCCAAAATGTTTTACTTGGTTTCACAAAGAAAACACTCCAAGAAGGTCACAAAGACTTCACAATATAGTGTTTATCTTTTTGATTCTTAATTCATTTTTTGTTCAGAAGTTGCAAAGTGTAAAAGCTATTTATAAAAATTTTAGAACCAGATAATCGATTATTTTAAAGGATAATCGATTATTTTTTTCTTCATGATTTCTGGAAACCACTCAAGAACAGAATAATCGATTATTTTGCAGGAAAATTGATTATTCCAGAGAGTGCTTCCTAGAATAATCGATTATTTCTCAGATAATCGATTATAACAGCAAGGCTCTTTTCACCTGTTGCTAGAATAGTCGATTACACTTAATGATAATCGATTATTTTGAGTTAGCTCTCAAAAACTCAAATTTATACTTAAAAAAAACTTTCCAAGTATTTTAAATCATCATAAAACTCACTCTCAGTCAATTTAGATAAAAATTAACTCATGCACAAAACAAACACATGCAAAACAAGCTAATCAAAACAATACAACTCCCAAGCTATTCCTATTACACATCATAATATTAATATCCTCCTTTCTTAACTGGTTTGTGTCCTTGGTGTCGTTACCGGGATCACGACGGGATGACGGTATGATAGACTATGGCCAAGGCCAAGGAATCCAAGAGGTGATATCTTAAAAGAACCAAGAGGAATGGGGTGATATTAAAGACCTTTCATATGTTTGTACATATAGTAGTCTCTTTGTATAGGCTTATTTTTGCCTTTGTATTTGTGAGGCACTTTACTTGCGTTTAACTAGTGATTGTATACTGATTTTAGGGTGGGTTACTCGGAGAGTTTAACTCCATTTAACCTCCTTTGTTAATACATTCATTATATATTTTTTCAGTAGGGAAAAAGGGTGGCATTTAGCAATGCTTGAGGGTGTGACTAGTAATTGGGCCAGAACTGGGCCTAGGCAAAATTTTGCATATTAGAATCATTTTGCTCCTAATTTTTCATAGATTTGATTTAGCTAGGTCTCATCATCATATGATGAACCTAACTAAACCAAATCAAATATTTTTGAAATAAATCATGGAGCATTTTTGAGCCTTGGCCACCTAGCTCATTCCTTTTATTCTTGGCCGAAATTTCTAGCTTCTCTTACAAGCTTTGAAGCTTGCCTTCCAAGCTTCTAAACCATAGTAGGTTTGGCTGACCTTACCATGGTTCTTAAGTGAACCATGTTCAAGGTTAGCTTCTCCTACAAGTTTTAGAAACTATGGATGGTTAGCTATACCTTACCATCGTTCCTAGTGAACCATGGTTAAGGTTAGCTTCCTCTACAAGCTACCTCTCCCTATATATTTCTAAATTGCTCATTGTACTTCACTTTTTGAGATATGAAATCATAATTTGACTTAAATTCTCTCCTCTTAAAGTCCTAAATTTCGTGGAGAAACTTTCTCTCTAAGTTTCTCTCAAAGGTTTCCAACCTTTTAGCTTGTTTAACAAGCTTCATCACTCTTTCATGGAGTAACCGAACCTCCTTGGTGATTCTTCTCCATTGAAGCTTCTTCAAAGGAGTTCCTCATCCAAATTCGTGGTCAACCGCAAGAGTTTAAAGGTCTTGGAATGGAGCACTTGAAGATTCATCAATCTTCTCCAAGTAGCTCCATCACGGTAACATTTCTTTTCAATTGAGCGAGACATTATTTGATGGGAAGAAAGTTCATTATAAAAACTGACCAAAGGAGCCTCAAATTTCTTAATGAGCAGAAACTATTGGGAGAGGAGCATCACAAGTGGACAACCAAGTTATTGGGATTTGATTTTGAAATCCAATACAAACCGGGTTATGAGAATAAGGCGGCGGATGGTCTTTCAAGGCAGATGATGTATGCTGCCATAACAAGGGTGGAAATGGAAGAGTGGCAGAAATGGGAAGAAGAGTTTTTGGAGGATGCTGAAATACAAGTATTAATGCAAAAACTG